TTTTTTTTTTCATCATGTACATGTAAAATGAGACTCAATTTTCAAGTGTCAATAAATTGTTCGTAATTATCTGTTCAAATGTTTCTAGACTGCTGTGAAGAGGTTCCCGAAGAAGAACATTAGACTTAGCACAAACTGGAAAAAATGAAAAATTGGAGGCATTACAAGTTGCTGCAACCTGCTCACTAAAATCGGAAGCAAGTTAAGTTTCACAATGTGTATATTATAAGACGGCTAACTTCCTTTCACGGCCACACCTCCTTCGTGCAGAAACAAGAAAAGCACAACGGCCAAAAGGAATATTCAATTCAATAGAGAAAAAACAAAAAGAATGGAAAGCAGCACCTATAACTGTTTATCAATGAGAAATTATGCAATGTGAATGGTATGATCATTTTGGAAAATATTAATTAAAAATAAAACTGAATCGTATAAACCGTCATATATCAAATGGAACAAGCTTTGAGATAAAGAGGTTGGCCTTGTGTTCAAATAGCCTTTTCACATAGAATTGCTTGAGAGCAGGTGGTCCTTAAATTGATAATTAACTTCAATAAATTGCACAAGTTGGCCCCAAGAAATATCATCTAAGCAACCCAAAAAGTACTACAAACATGATCACTTGGATGAGAAGTTCCATGAACAAACACCACCAAAGATGTTAAATCCAAAGTACAGCAGATGGTCCAACTTTGAGACTGACATAAACGAACAAGATTACTCCATTAAAAACCTGCAATGCAAGAAAAAAAACGAAAAAGAAAAAATGAGACTACAAGAATTTACTAGAATTTCTGCTCCTAATTGATTTCAAGGAAAAAAAAAAAAACCAGAATTTGATTCATCTATGCTCCTAAGAACATTATAATTATAAGAATATTTCATCTGTTTCTATTGATTAAATGAGTGTATAGTATCTCTATTGTGCACAGCTTGTTAGAGAATTAGAATAAGCAAACTCTGTGGAGTGCAGAAAAGTGTAGGATCAGATTTTGATCAAATCAAGAATTACCCATTAAAACTTATATCAATAAATCATCATTAGAACCCAAATCAAGAATTTACCATTAGAATACAAATTAAAAATTGCCAACTTATATCAAGAATTCATCAATGGAACCCAAATCAAGAACTACCCATTAGAACCTATATCCAGAATTAATCAATATACCCGAAATAAGGAATTGCCCATTAGAACTCAAATAAAAACTTATCACAGAATCAAGAATTTACCATTAGAACACAAATTAAAAATTGCCAACTCATATCAAGATTTCATCACTGGAACCCAAATCAAGAACTACCCATTAGAACCTATATCCAGAATTAATCAATATACCCGAAATAAGGAATTGCCCATTAGAACTCAAATAAAAACTTATCACAGAATCCCCAAATCAATAACCCATCTCAACCTTGACCAGAAATTGTTAAAATTAAAAACCCATTGCAGAACCCCAATTCGAAAATCACAACCCAGATTTAGAACGAAACATAAACACCGCTATGGATACACCTACCTGATTGGCATAGAATTCTTGCAAGCTCAACTCGCGATGGCAGCTCTTCCTTCGTCTTGGAAGGGAGGGCTCTTCGTCTTCTTCATGCACTCCACAAACTCAGCCATCGCGTGTTTTATTTTTTTTGGATCGCTTGGTTTTATTTTTTCGGGTTTGGAGTGTGAAAACGGGTTAAAACATTTAAAAGAATCATAGCCACACAAGCTCATTAAAAGAGATCCAACGGCTGAGCGCCCCATCCCTCAAATAACACTATTTGAGGGATCCCTCAACTGAAGGGGACTATATATATATATATATATATATATAGTTTTGCTTACATCAAAATGACTGGATTTTAATTAAAATGCGGACAGTAAAGGTGAAACGTCATATCAATCCAATGGTACTGCAGCTTTGATATGTATTAATTGACAAAACTTAAAACCACGCGCAGCTCAACTCTTTGGTTTTTTTTTCCACGCGCAAAGGCCAGTCACTTTAATGATTATTGAACTAATTTAATATTATATCAAACTTATCATACCTTTCTCTCTCCTTCTTTCTCTCGATTACCTCAAGCCTTCCCTTGCTTGATCAGGTATCGCTCATACTTATCAAGCTGACACACACAAATGAAAGAATATTGAAGTCCTCTTAGTTGAGGCATAGAAAAGAACTAATCCAGGCTAGTACCCCCCTTGGAGCACAATGGCTTGAGCAGAGGTCCAAAGAAAGAGCGCGAACATCACCAAATCAACTCACTACACTCCCCCACACCAGGTCTATTAGACTGGTCTCATATCCAATAGTAGCACACCTACACAACCCCATAGATCAGAGTCGAGAGGATCGAGGGACAGGGCCCTACCCATGACAGGACCAGACCGGAATTCCCCCTTGGAACTCATGTCGAATCCTGCAATCCGATCGACACCTGAGAGATGCCGGACCCACTACTAAATTTACACCTTTCACCCAAACTTTTAAGATAAAAGGGTCAAGACTTCTACCGAAATTTTCGGCAAAATCTCCCCTCTAAAATGGACTTTCCCCAAATTAACACATGCAATTACCGACAATCTAATAATCTCAACTGGCAGCACGCACAAGACAAGGCACACATAAAATTCACATGGTATCCGGCCGGCTTCAAATTCTATCCTAAGTGGGAAATATCAGAGCAACTATAGAAGTTGAATTTACAAAATTATTTTCCAAATAAACCATGAGGACTGAAGATGAAGTCTCCTACTAGAATTATAAGGACCTCACCGACGCCGGAGTAGCTTACGTGGATATCCGAACGCTAAGCTATCTACTTCCTGGGGGCGCAAAACAGTAAAAACGTGAGTGGACAAAAAGAAAGTTTTTTCATAAAAGTAATTATACATAACATACTAACCCCTCTGTTTTCGCAAACCTTTGGAAAACTCACTAATACACATAAGTATACGTACATGAACAAAATATAATCAATACATATGCAAGTAAAATAAACTCAGAATTAACTAGTAAATAAAAATATCATTGACCCAAATTGGTACTTCAAATAACATTTAAATCCAATTCAACCCAAAATATAATTTAATAAAAATCAGGTTTCAAACCATTCTTTGAATCCAATAAACCAAGCAAGCTCAAACACAAATCATCTGAAAATCCAATCTCAAACCAAGTCATACGAAAAACTCTCCACCCAAGTATACCTATGGGGAAAATAACTGGCGAACCCTGTGTAATATATCGGCAGGGTGGCAGGGGAACATCCTGGGAAAATCATTGGCCGGACACTCGCATTTGTGATACGAGTATAGGCAATATATTGAGGCAACCCGGAATGGGGGAAAACTGATCAACCACCTATATAGACAACCAGATAGGTGGAGGGGGAAAATCCTGGCCGGACACCCACATAAGCAGGTACATGCAATATACTGGCCGAACACCTACAAAGTAATCTCTATGTAGGTACAGGCAATTCACTGGCCGAACATCTGCGTAGTCAACATAGGTACAGGCAATATACTCTGGCCAGACACCTACAGAGTAGTCTCTATGTAGGTACAGGCAATCCTAGTCATGTGCATAGACTTAACTGAAGGCAACCAATCCGAATGCAACTTATTACACTTTTTCCGAAGGCAACCATTTTATCTCATCCGAGGCAACTCATTAATTCCCAAGGTATCTCATAAATGACAAAGGCAACCGGGAATAGGTTCCTAGGGTGGGTTTGAAATCCAATTCCAACACTTAATCATAAAAGCCCTCTTTTTCCACAAATCCCTGTTTACCACTCTTTCTCAAATCCCTTCTTAGTCATCTCAAATAAAACGCAAATCTTTCAAAACCAAATAAAGTTCCAAGTATATATTATAATTAATTAAATAATCAAAATCCCCTTTAAAATCAAGATAGACCCCAATTCCATTATTTTGATTCAAACCATTTATAATTCTTTCAAAATAGTTCTTAAACTAAATCCGAAACAATAATCCACATATCAAATCATATCTAAACATTATCCCACGTTGAAATTATTTCCAAACATTTAACAAACTCGAATACCAAACCACAATTGAAACGATATATAATTCATTTTCAACCAAAATCAAATGCTCAAGAGTAAACACCAAAACAATTCATTCGTAAAACATTCATAAAAACTGTTTAGAAAGCAAATGTCCACTCACACAAGGTCCAAAGCGCATTCAACCATTTGCAGTTTCGTCCAGAACAATTCGTGGCGCCAAAGAACCTATTTGAGAGAATACCAAGATTAACAGAATAATCAAACCCAACACTGAACTTTAATTCAAAATCCTAACTCTCGGAACTCACAGTGAGTGCACGTCCTGTAAGTAAAACCCTAAGGCCATCTTAGTACTTAACAAGAGACGAAACGTTCTCCAAAGACTCCTGGTCAACTGTCCGATCCAACAAGTCATATTGGTCAACCGATAGTCAACTGGGCCCGTGGGGCCCACAACCTCCCATTTACAATCCCAAAGCTCCTAAAGGTCCAACAAATTTTCCTAAACACGTCCCAAGAGTTTGGTCTCGATCGAGCGATCGGATCGCTCGCAATCGCACGATCAGATGGTTATCATTTAATGCAAACTTTAAGTTATTGAATCGGAACATCTGGGGCTTCGATTCACGATCCGCGAATTCCTACACGATCCTAGGAGTGCCTAGATCAACATATATTAATTTGGACTTGATCCAACGGTCCAAACATATCGAACCCGGATAACGCACAATAGGCGTAAATCTGTTCGATAGTCAAACGATATTCGAATTGGAATCTGAGCACACCTACGCACTCGTGACAACTAGGGGATCGCATCGGGATACAATTACGCTCTGCTACAGTGCCCACGCCTCGTCAGCGTGTGGGTGTGCAAAGTGATAACACTCGCCGGAAAAACCTCAAAATCTCTGGCCAAGACTCCTACCCTAGGTGTAAAACCCCATTTGGAGTCACTTTTGTTGTTGGGCCTACCCCAAAAAGTGACCGGAAGTGGCCAACAACGTGATCCCAAAACCGGCAGAATTTCAAATCGAGAATCAACTAACCTAGGCTCAAAATTAATGAAATCCTACCCAAATATCAGCTAGAACATGAAAAATAGGTGGAAATCCATACCTTATACGTCCAAATTGGTGGAGAATTGAGAGAGAACGAGAGGTTTGAAGTTTAGGAAAAATCGGCCGGATTTTCTGCGTTTTCCGGTGAATCTCGTAGCTGCTGGCAGCGGGGCTTGGCTGGGGTTGGAGGAGAATGAGCTGGCAGTCCTTTTGGGACTGGTGCCACCTCGGATTGTGGCGTGTGACGGCGGTGGCGGGGGGAAAAACGCCGCTGCTGTTTAACGTTTTCGTGTCTTGCCTGGCCGGGCCATTTAAATTATCTGGGTGCCGGCCCATTTAGTAAAATTATTGATCCCGGCCTGGCCCAAAGCCCATATCCACATTGAAACGGGCCGGGCCGTGCTTGTGCTCGTGCCATACTTGGGCCCAAGAACCAACCCATTTATCTCTTCCCATTTTGTGCACATGTATCACGTTTTAGCTTGTTGCCATTATTTTCTGGATGAAAATCTTCCTTTACCCTACACCATACCTTCCTATATCTTATCATGATTTGTTTACTCTATTTTCTGAAGTCTATTTAAGAAGAGTGACGAATTCCAACCAACCACACCATCTTCTTCATTATCATCTTTTTGCTTCAAAATTGTGAGCTTCTACGCCGGCCTGGGACCTCTCGAACCGCCTAATAGAGAGTAGCTATACATTGTTTCTAGAATTAATTAAGAGAAAATGGTGAACACATTGCCAAGGTATATGGTGTTGAAATCAAGGTACAACGCCAAGTACTTGAGCTACGTAAAGGAAGATGTGCAGATTCATGGGTTTCTCAAGTTCTCCGGTGAAGAGGTCGGGAGTCTGTATTCAAAGTTCCATGTGGAGATAGCAAAGGGTGGGAAGGGACTGGTGCACATAAGATGCTCCTACAACAATAAATACTGGGTCAGGTGGTCGGAAAACCACAATTGGATTGTTGCTGGAGCGAATGAACCCGAGGAAGACCAATCCAAATGGTCTTGCACCTTGTTCGAGCCCGTCTACGTAGACAATAAGGATCCTGCTCAAGGGGTCCGATTTCGACACGTCCAGCTCGGGCACTATGCATGCTTATGGAGGGTGGCCCCGCCAAAAGACTCGTGCTTGTTTGCAGGATCTGCGGCTCCTGACAAGGATTTGTGCGACGTCAGCTTAATCGTTGATTGGGAAACGCTGTTGGTATTGCCCAAGCATGTCTCCTTCAAGGGCGGCAATGGGAAATACCTGAGCGCCCGCACGTTTAATCACCTCCCTTTCTTGCAGTCTAAGAAGCACGGACACGGATACGGATACGGGGATACGATACGACACGACACGGGGATACGACAAATTTTCAAAAATGAGGATACGATACGTCGTGGATACGGTAATTTAAAAAATATATAATAATTTAAAAATAACAATATATATAATTTAAAACATATTTTAAATAACATAAAAATGATAATATTATTACTTTTAACATACTTCCACTTGTCTTGGTTATAATATTTTATTACTTTTAATAAGACAAACAAAACAAAATCCTTTTGTCAAAACGATAAGACCAGCCATCACGTGGGGTGTGGGTGAAACTGTGAGATTATTAAACAAACAA